ATGCAGCTCGGTCGTGGAGTCTGGAGGACGGCGGTGCGCAAATTGACCGGCACGGTGTTCTGAATTTCAGACATCATGTACTATGGTTCTAAATTCGGTTGAAAGTCAGAAGACATCCGGAAGTGTTGCTGTGTTCCAGTCCATTGAAGGTCGTAGGCGACGGCGAGACTGGGGATTTGTTGATTCTACGTTTCGGGGTTGCTTCTAAACTTTCACTTTCGACAAGTTCTGATTTCCTTCATGTTGAGTATTTTCGGAGGGCTCCGTGGGGGAGGGAGTTCTACATCGGTGTTTGGATTGGGGCGCTGTGGCTTGTTAGGAATTCTCGGGTGTAGTGGTGTGGTTTGATATATTTTTAATCCTCTTGTCACTGAAAAGGATCAGTGCGGTAAATAGCATATCCCACAATAAGAATCCGTTATTGCTTATCTGCACTATCCACGTACATGCGACAGTCCGGGGTATGGTGTGTACTGTACTTATGCAGATTTTTAAATTTCCATGCATTAGAACCATGCATTATATGATGACAGTATGAATACAAGAATAGGATGTGAAGAGTACTGGAGATTCGTGAATTCGTCATGTCTGTTTAATATGTGCGAAGCATTAGGAGGGTATGGTATGTTGGTAGGCAAAGGACAGCTGGATCGGCCTGCCGGCTGCGTATGTGCACGTGACAACATACCAGCCCGCGTCCGATCTACATCGGGAATGGATAAGGCCCGGAGAACGGACCGTTCATCCACATTGCACTCGCCTGCATGGCTTGTGCTGCTGCTGATGCTGCCGCTGCGTCGTCAGGCACGGGGTCCTGACCCTGAGACCCGCTACTCGGCGGTGGTGGCACCATGTTGGGCGCGTACGGTAGTAGGCCCAAGCCCATGGGCATCGGACCCGTTGCCTGCTGCTGCCCCCCTAGGTTCGGAGTGCCGAACTGGGACGGCGGCGGCGCGTCCATGTTCACGTTGTTGCCGGGATTGACCATCGGTTGCGATTGTGATACGTCCGGAATGGGATAATTCAGGTCGAAGCCGAAGATGCCGTTCAGAGCCTGGGGCGACAGCTCCCAGTCGGCTGTCAGGGGGATTTGCCACAGGCCTGGCTGGCCGAAGTGGAAATTGTCACTGTTGACGGAGACGGGAAAGAAGCCGGCGTCGAAGCTGCTTATATCGAAGGGTTGCGGCTGTTGCTGGGAGGACGCGCCACTGGGTTGCAGGGGAACCGGCGTAGCAGATTGACCGAGAGACTGTGCTTGTGGCCGTTGGGAATATGCTGTGGTAAGAGGAGGGGAGGAGGTGGTGTAAGTTTCTGAGTCGGGGCCGGGACTGAAACTGTCGGGGACAACATAACCGGATGAATTGATCTGAGGTAGACCTTCAATGTTGGGAGGAATATTGTGTGTATTCTTATGAGCGGCAGATGAGGTAGGAGAGGTTGGGGTAGACGTGGGGGGACCGGTCCGTGATTGAGAAATAAGGCCAGTTTGTCGATGTCGAGAATGAACAGTCTGACCTGAGACGGTTTGTGACGCTGCAGGGTTCTCATCCTTGTTTGTCTGGGGTGAATTGCTTTTCATGTCATCGGGTTTCAAGACTTTCGCGTCTCGTTCGAGAAGATTGCGTGCAAGTCGCTCGAAATTGGCACTCATTTTAGTCATAAATCGAGCATAGTGGCCGGGCCCATCGCCCGGAATGAGCGTCGCGAAGAAGGTCGCGGCCATGGTGAGAGATTGAAGGTCTTCTTTGGCTTTAGGATGTTGAGGGTTCTTCAGGATATTGACGAAGATGTTCATTACTGCAAGGAACACGTAATACAGAAGAGACCTAAGGGACATTAGCATATATGGAAGACCTCGTCTCGGGCATGCCTTACCAGATCCATGCAATGTCGCCCCATGGCAGGTTGTTGACTAATTTCAAAGTATCCCGTGCAGCCTGTACACAGATCTCTGAAGAGACAGTGGCCTCGCTAAGAATTAAGCCGTAGTCATCCATAGGATGTCCTCGTGCAAGGTGATCCATTGACCCGAAATGAAGTAAGACCGGAAGTCGATGAATCATGAGCATAGTATTATAGTAAACAAATTGCAAGCCGGCGGAGGCGAATCCAAGTAAGAAGTCCTGGCCTGTTCCTCTTTTCTTCAGGCGACATTCGAACGGATTAGCGTTCTTCCATTCTTCGAGTTCCGAGTGTAGCTCTCGAATATCCTGAAAGATGACTGCAGGAGACTTGTGCTCCAGCGCCTTCGTCGAGTAGAGTTTGCTGTACATGCGACTTTTTATCACTGTGATCTTACAAAGCTGGCGGAAGAAAGAATTATGTGACGACGTCACGAATGCATCTTCTGTGTTATCTGCCGGAAAGTCCACGTCGAAGTCCTCATGATTCTGGATGGGACTGCTTCCTGCGCGTATACATGTGCTAGAAAGAGAGCGCATGTCAGAAAAAATCCTTAGCCTATTTTGTGAGATGACGATAAGGGGGTGACGCACCTTTGGTCAAGTATATAGGCAACCCAGAACACTCTGCGTCTTTGCTCCTGCTCAGTGGGGGAAAGATGTGCCCTCGCAATATTGCGGTGTAGTCCCATGCGGTGACAAGCTTGCACGGCTGCCGTAATAATCGGCAAGGAGGACTGGGTTCCGGAATTCCCTCGGAGAAAAAGAGCCATGCCCAAAAGAGCTTGTATGCTAAGGAGGTCGGTTCTCCTCAACGACAGCTCTACAAAGACTGACATGGCGTTCTTGTAGTAGAGCCAAGCTCTCTCCCTGTCCTTCTCGGATTTCTGACAGTTGGAGAACCGATATTCATAGGCCAGAGACAGCAAGATATTGATACTAGCCCATCGAGCGGCATCATCACATGTCTGCTGCGTGTACTGCCACTCAACCAGGCGCATAAATGTCGCTTCATGATACAGCGGGAACAACCGATTTACAGTGCGAAAGTAATCGCGCAACAACGCAAATACCTCTGCTCGAGGAGGCAGCGGTTTGAACACCTCCGAGGTGAAGATGTCATGAAAGACGTCTGGCCGCCAATAGTCCCAAGGACTGTCTCGAGTTGAGTCAGAAAATATGACATTCACAAGCTTTGTTTCACCGGTCTTTCTCTTGATCCATTCAAGACCTTCTCGTGAGAGAATAGACATTGAAGACGACCGTCCTTGAAGAGAAGTCAGTCGAGGTTTGTGAAAAGAAACGCCGCAATGGAAGAGACCACTTCGTACCATAGTACCTATATTCTTCTCTGTTGTCCAAGACGAAAAGAGGGGCATGGGGCTGGCCGGACTTGGGAGGTGCACGGATTCCACCCTGGGGAGATTCTGGTGCAGCTTGTGACTTTCCCTTGTCATTCGACGACCGAGGCTGTGCATCTGCCAGATTGCTTGAAGCATCTAAAGTGGACGGTCCGGAATTGCGTCTACTGACGCCAGCACGAGGACTAAAGTAGGGAGAAATGAGATCATCATCGGAGTCCATATCACGATCATGATCATCTCCCTCTTCGCTGAGATATTCATCCTCAAGTGACAGCTCTTCAGCGAATAAACCAGCGGCCCGGAGCAGAGACTCTGTCCTCTTGACTCGTTCTTCTAGTGATTTCACATAATGTGTCCTAGCCAATTCTTAGTCTGGCTTTGAAGATCGTCGGAGTGATCGGAAGACTTACCTTTTCAATGACTCTCTTTTTTCTTTTCTTGTAGTGAACTTGCATGGTATGTTGCGACGCATACATTGGATGCAAGCATTCTTAGACCCTTCGACTTCGCATTTGATCTTCCTCTTGTAGCATGTTTCACATGCCTGCATTGAACGTTTACTCACGTGTTCTGTTATAGTGCGGAAGTAAGAGGAGAGATGCTTACCAGTGGATTCCGCCTCCGGCTGTCCTGGTCCTGCCCGCTGTTGGAGCCTGTATTTCTTGAAAGGGGAGGACTAGTTTGGACGCGCCAGGAGGAGGAGTGATCAGTATTTAGCTCCAGGCTCTGCATGGCTTGTGTCTAGACAGAGCAATCGGCTACTATCACCATAAGATCAAACGGGCCCATACTCAAATGGCCTGGTGGATCACCTATTAGGCTGACGATAACGGAACGTGATCATGTGCAATAAAGCAGCGGAGTAAGCATCGCTCGTCCAATAACAACGAGCAGAAACAAGCCGAAGAAGAATGAAAAAAAAAAGATAAAAAAGATACTAGAGACGGATAGACAACAGCAGCCCAGCCCTATCAGGCAAAATATACAGGAGAAAAGAGGTTGAGTGAAGGGCAAACGAGTTGATGAGAACGCTACGCGGGCGGGATCGAGCCTTAGGCTCTTAGCTACCCGGCTTCCGTTTAGTGCAGGAGGATCGGGTTGAGATGTGGGATGCTTATTTACCCAGTTGAACTGTGTTGCAGCGGCACGAGGACAATTTCGTTATGGCCAAAGACAGTCCAGACAAGGAGATTTGCACCAGCGACAGTCGACACCGAAAGAAGGTGATCAAAGGTGTTGACTCAAATTTTTCATTAATCTGGTCGTGACAGTTGGGAGGTCCCTTTTTGGCAGGGATTATTAATGGCGTCCGTCCCATGCTGGAGGAGATTGTCGAGGCTCGCTCGGCAAGTCGGCCCCTCCAAATTCCGTCCCGGACGGCAACTGCAGTTCTTCTTTCCGTCGGACGTGCGAGAATACCCTCATAGCGGTGCAAAAACCCCTCAGACCATACCCCCTGTTCAAGCCCCTGGAATCGTAGTATGCTGGCTATTTTGCAAGACTGAGGTTGTTCCGCTGCTTCGTTGCTTCGTTGCTTTGCAAATTCTCTTTCAGTCTTATTTCCCGGCGGACAGAATCTCTTCTTGTCTAATCCTGCTTTGTGTGCAAAAAAGTCGATGTGACTTGGTCGGCTGTTGTTCACCATCCTGCAAATTGCAGAGTGCCCATGCTGGCTGCGATTCAAAGTGATAACTTCCAAGCGGTCTTGTGCTGATCTCTGGGTGGCTTCGTGGCAAGTCAAGTCGTTGAATAGATGCAGATAAGCTTCTCGCGGGACTTGTTTGATAGAACTTCCAGACCACAAATATAATCAGCTAGTACTTGATCATCCAGCCTTCCCCGCATTCTGGAACCGGTACGTTTGCCCCGCGGTGAGTGTCGACGCTCGGTCGCCGGTCTAGGACACGGAAGTACGTCAGCATTCTTGCGCATCGACGGGCTTGGGAATGGTCTAGAGCAATCGACTCACTGCATGATACGACCAAACAGGCCGGTGACCGGTGTGAAATCCGCGATCGCGGGCCTCAGAATGCTGCATGCTATGAGGGCAAGGGGCGGAGTGAGTGTAGAGTCGTGGTTGTAGTCGGGGCCGTGGTTGTGGAATAAGCTTCCACCCTGTCAGTTGCAGCGGAAGTGCTAAGTCTTCCTCACGAGTGCTGGAGTGTGAATCGTGCTTAATTCTAAGCACCTGCTGCTTTGCAATGTGGATATGAGAGACGATGCCAAGGTGATATAGGCTGTAGCGCTTTGCGCTTTCCCAAGCCGAGACAAGGACAATGTGGCAGAGAGAACATACAGCTGAGCGCCTGTAAGCCTTAGCGGGAGCAGCGATGCCCGCCGCGAATGACGTGCTCATTTGGGAAGTCGCTCCTCGTAGCTGAAGCTCACCGAAGCAGTCCGATCATATGAGCTACAATTCCGACGTGCATTTAGGGCGCTGCAGAATGATCATTGGATAGGTACGTGGGATGTAGTACGTTGGCTCTCTTCTTATTACGTATAATGGTTTCCAACGCTCTTGTTCCAAGTGGCCACCCACCACTTTCCAACGAACGGGGAAATTCTACGCGAAATCTACTAGGAAATCGGCGTTTCCCGTAGATGGCGAATGGGGACAGAAGATCATCAGATGCACACTGCTGGGGTATTGGAGAATAGACTACAATGAACTACGAGGAAGTCTATGTACGTAGCGCGAAGCTGTCACTCGGCCGTCGGGAAAAAGAAGGTATAAGGCCTGGGTCAACAGTGGACATGTATGGGCCGCTCCGGACGGGAGTCAGGTCTCCGCGGAGTCAAATCTTGAACACGGAGGCGCAGTGGGGATGGAGCGGGAGAAATAGTAGTCGATCAGGGACTACATCAAGGTCACTGTCTGGACGAAGGCGTTGTCGCTCTATATCCGTATCCCTCGCACGACGCACAGCCGATGCAATCGGATTGAGATAGCGCAGCAAGCCACGATCTTGTATCGAAGCACACGACATTGCAGAATTTGCTTATTGGCATCTGGCAAGTAGACAGCAGGATTGGACTGAGTCAGCTCACCTCTCGATCTGTGCGATTCCAGTACGTGAGACAGAAGTCTCATGCTTCAACAAGCCTCGGGGAAACTACGGTAGCAAATCTGAGATGTGGACCGCGGGGGAAGACAACAGTGCCTGGTTCGTCCGGCGGGCAGAAGCCCTGTGAGGATGAAAAGTGGAAGATGGGAGTGTGGAAAGTGAACAGCCACCAAGATATACTCAAAGAGGGAGAAAGACCAGCGCCAAGAAATGGAAAGCACCAAATCTCATTCAAAGGGCCCAACGGCGTCGTCCGCATCAGGTGGCAAAGGCCAGTGAGTGGATACGGATTTTTCCGCCGTGGGAAATGAAAGAGAGGCATTCCCAGAGCTACTGTGAGTCCGTGGAGCTGGAGCTGCGAGCTTAGAAGCACACGGCGCTCAAAATTCTTGCAGCAGTGGTGGAGTCCGGGCTGTCCTGAATCGTGAAATCGGACTGGAGATAAATTGGGCCAGGCTCGACCAGTGGGAACTGTCTAAACCAAAATGATGTAAGTTCCGAGAGTCTGGAAGTTCCGAAAGCCTCCCCTGAATGAAGCGGGAAGCAGTTTGGTTGTGAGAAGACTGGATGAACTCAGAAGTTGGAAGTTGATATCCACCGCGGAACAATCGATCATCATTCATGTTCTGTCTCCTGGAAACCCGACCGGTAGGAAGTGCAAGTGCAAGTGCAAGTGCGAGTACGCGTTGCCTTTTGGTTCCTATATTGTTAGTCCAAAACGGTGATGACGAATGTGCACTGTGCAGTGACAGGAACTGAATGATCATTGATGAGTGGGAGAGAAAATTGGGTCCCTCAGCGGGTCGTCTCCCCTTTCCAGTTTGTACTGACTTACTCGTCGTACTTATTGATTTGCGCTGTGTTGACGTCCGCCCGCTCCTCGGCTCCTGCCCATTCAGATCTCGTCCTTCCTCACGGTCTACCTTCACCCGACCTACCTTACTAGGTACACTTACCCACTTCCCCAGAACTTCTTGTTCCTCTTTAACCCTTCTACCCTTCTGGAATTTCTCGTTTTTCTCAACTGGACCACAATCTCATGACATAGATATCAATATTTATATCATCCCCATTTCCCTGTCCTCTTTCCTTCCTCTCCGTAACTTCTTTACTCCCTCCCACTCTGTTCTGCCGCCGAGCGGTGAAGCTGAATGAAGTGACCCGAGGTTGGCAAATTGACCAACCACAGAGTGCGATCACGACATTTCTCCATTCTATCAGATCATCCGCTAGCCTTGGCCGGGCCATGAGACGATCAACCATCACTGCCCGTATTCGCTGCTTGTGTGCTTATTCCCTTTCCCCCCTCCCCCCCGACATGATGTTCTCTTTTCTCACCTTTTTGTTTGGATGATACATACTCCAAATTCCTATTGCTGCTGGTCCTTTTACTACCACCCTACTGTTGTGTGATCCTGCACCTCCTGCTACCAACCCAACGCCTCCCACCCACTTCCCACCTC